GTGGAGCAAGGGCAACGGGTGCGTGCTGAGCAGTGGGAACGGGCACTATGGCACCGGGCACAACAGCTTCTTCCAGAGCCCGAAGGGCGACCAGACGTGGATTGCGTACCATGCCACGGCGAACAGCGCGGGCGCGTGTGATGATAGTCGGTATACGATGGTGCAGATGCTGGGGACGCATAGTAATGGCAGTCCGAACTTTGGGACGCCAGTGGCGTTTAGTTATGTGTATGGGGAGCCGAGTAAGTAAGACGGTTAAAGGGAGTAAGAATAGGGAGGGGAGGGGAGGATGAGATTGGGGTTTCTTGTACATATTTTCTTTTGGATTTGTGTTGCTCTGCGGTGATGCCTTCGGGTCTCTTTCGGAGTCTGAAGTTGCTGCATGAGCATGGCTCAAACGTATTTGACTACAAACGTACATATGGACGCTGTCTCTGTCTCAAGTCTATGGCGTTAGGACTTCAAGCTGTACATGTCTCCAGATTGCTGACCTACCGGTCTGACCTTATCCTCATCAACTTCATCGGCCTCACGCAGATCGAGAATGTATATATAGGCCAGCTTATTTTTTGGTTTCTTCGAGTTAGTCCCAACGCAATAAGGTTAGGGAAACCCTCTTTTTCTTTTCGAGAGGCTCAGCGCTGTGTGCGACTATTCCAGCTAGAAGTCACAGGATAGACGAATTTGAGATACACTCCCAAGGTTCATCACATTGACGATGTCTTCTTCGTCGAACATTGGCATCCCTCGCGTATTCAATAGTGACCGATCAAGGAGAACCTGAACGCAACCATGCAGTGCCCTTTCCCGTCAGTCGATCTCTGTCGGGACCTCGGACTCATGTACATAAAATCTTGTAACCCTTCGGGGGGAGATCCCGAAGCGAAAGGATTCATTCGTGCGTTGTTGAGGCGCAACACTCGTTGTCGTGGCTTCTTAAATATGAAGCAGTGCAGTTGGCCGTCAACACAAGCTTTTGGGGTAGCGATGGTCCGTGGCGCTTGGCAGAAATCCGTGAACGTCATGTACAATGTTTTGAGTTAGTATATAATGTAACAAAATCCAAAAAGGTATGGGGAAAACGGGCAAATGGGTCTCTGTCATTTCCCTGGTGCGAAAAGATGCGCTTGGCAGTTGACACCAGTTCTCGAGTGAGCATCCTCAATGCGTAACCAGCTCATCTGCTCGACCTAATTAATAGCTGTGTATAATCCTTGGGATCCGGTGCTGTCGGATGAGTTGTATGAATATGTTGAGGATGGAGCGGTCGTGGTTTGATACCTTCTCAACTAGCTTATCCACTGATCGTACAATACACGAATCGGATCTTTCTCTTGTCCAAGTAACACTCGAACCCCACGCCATTGTTATTGATTGCTTCCGCTAGTACGTCTAACAGCTTCGTCTATCTTATAACCATGTTCAGTCTTGTTAACCAGTACATGTAAACTACAGCTATCTGCTTCCAGAATCACATATACTCGTATGCGGCTACATAGGAATGAGTAACGTATTTATAAGTCACGGCGGTATTCTGGTTGCATGTTCCTTGAAGCGGCACAATGCATCGGCTACATCTTGTTTCTCTGTGGGCTTCATCATGGAGGGTGGCTCTCATGGCTAGCCACAAGCTCACCGACCATGACTTTTACATCAAGGCTTAACCGTACGAGTGGCTTTCTTTGTCGGCCGGGACTTCCCCTCATTGTTCTTTCCTTATACGTCGAAATAGCAACTGAATACACTCCTGCTAGATGTCATTGCGTTCGCGGGCAACCTGACGGATGGCGTCTTCTCCCCTTTCCAGACCGTTCAGAGTTGATTACAGCTCGCCACTTTATTGTCAGACCCGAAGAGTCATAATCTCCTTTATTTGTCCAAACATAATTACTCACTGCCGAGGGGCTTTTATGTGGTTCATGAACGCGTCGGATTTTGCTAACTCGTAGAACACGCCACTTAGTTTGTATGATGCTCCGTGACCAGCTATAAAAGAGAAGCCCATAATGACGGATTAGATGTGTGACAGACAAGCAAATGTAAGCCCAGGCAATACAGTTTCAAGACATGTAAAAGGCTAATTCTGATGATTAGGGGGGTTCGTTCGCACGAGTCGTTGCGTTAGCATGTGGTTGTTCCCTTAGTGAGCGGGTACCATTCTTAGGATCTCTTAGTATGATTTTATTTACTTGAATACCTTGAAGATAGAATAGTTGGAAATTTCAAATTCATAGACTGGTCTGTTGCGGAGTATAACCTGTACTGTGTCTGCTGGTGTTTCTCTTTTCGAATCCGGGATCAGTTCGTGAACCATATTGCGTGTCTCACTGTCTGTGGTGCGCTTGAAAGATCACTTTTCATACCTATATACATTCTGCTTGGACTTAGACCCGTTTGGAGGAGCGCAGCTTCACAATGATTATCAATTTAAAGGAGCCTTATCAACTACTGTACTCAAGTTATTAAGCCATAAAGTCCTCTGGATGCAACGCGTGATGGCCACGACTCCTGCGTCGAGTAGACTCAGGATTTGCTTCACATAGAACATGATGTGCTAGGCAAGAAGAGATGATGTCAAGCAGATGGAGAACCTAGTGCTGTTGTTTAGATTGTATACTTACTTCACCCATCCTCATCGACGCAGCTTACTAGAACATTAATTATTCATTCAAAGGTTGATTATTATGCGTTTAAGTCTGACTAGAGATTTAGTAGTTCACGGTTCTATGTGTGAATTATTCTAAAAGCCATACAACGAACACTGAGTATCCTCCTCGGGATTCACTGTCTGTCTTGCCTCAGGGCACTCCAATCTAGGGCGAGCTTATACAGAGGTGATTTCGCGAAAGATCTCAGCCTGCCTGCACGAACGTTAAATTGTCCGGTATAACTATCATTATCCCCTCCATTATCGTCCTTATTTGTCTTGTTCAACAGGGTATCATTCAGGAAAGATGCAAAACGTTGGTGACAGCGACTAGTTTCTAGGTAGACAGGTGATGTTTTCTACGAGCACCTATGCTGGTTGTCACTCTTCAGGCCCCCTAATGCTCATGAATGGCATGATCGTGAAATGACTTCAATCTGACGTATAACTGTCATATTTGCTGCTTGAAGCATGATCTGATCTTGCTATATCTTTTATAAGCCGTGATGGGCGTACGAAGCTGAGAACACAGAGAAGAGGGGCCTCTGCAGTCGAATTGAAGAATTATTTATTAGCCGGACGGAGCCTTTTGACACCAGAGCTTACCAACCTGTGATAATGGAAGCTGTGGTTTTCTTCGAAAAGAATCATGGGAAAGAACAAGGTGTCGGATACCTGCAAGTTAAAAACTATACTTGGAAGACTCCTGACACCACTCCCAAAAGCTCTGTTTGATTCACCGCTTCTGTTTCCCGTTTCCAGTCCAGCGCTTATTGACAAGAGATTGATTTTATAAACTACAGACGACGCAAAACAACTGGATACTGTCGGGGTAATTGCCTAGTGCTCTGTGAGTGGGCAACGGGGCCTTCTAACCGCATGTCGTGCCCGCGGATTTTCGAAATATTTGCAGCCCTGATGGCAGGGACAGGCGGTCTATTGTCTTTGGCTGCATGTAATAATCGAAGGTTGCAATTTTACAGCTGCCTGCAACCCACGGAGAGTGTTAAAGACGTATGCATCATGAAAGTACAATCTTCTGGGACTGGGGCGACTTGCTAATCTAGTACACACCAGTCATCGCGCCCAATATTGCTGATGTGTCAATAAAAGACGATTTCAGTGGCTGCTGAAATTCACCCAACGCCACCCAATTTGACCTGACCTTAGGCTTGAGGTCCGTCTTCGGAACTTCTCAGTTGAGTGATTACTGTTAGGTTTGTCTGGCTCTGAGGTTTCGAATTCCACTGACAACAAGGTCTGACCCTTCGAGCGTAAACACCACCGTCCAGCACTGCCTTCGTCAAGCATCGTCGTCTCACTATAAGATTGTATTCGAGTTGCTGGTTCAATTAATTCCTGGGATGGCGCCCAACAAGCATCCATACATTCCATCAATAATGCTGTCATTGTAGTCAATGAAGTATTCTTATGCCTCAAGCACTGAATTATTCAACCCAAGAAACACATGCGCCGAGCAGAGGCATCACATAGGGTCTCGTCGCAAGGCAGCTATCCCTCTTATAGCCCTATGCATTCGCAAAGTGAGAAATATTCCGCGAAATGTTCTCATTGGCTTGCGTGACCGCATACGTGAGTTGGTTCTACAATATTTTATACATCAGGCCGCGCGTGAGGAAGGCGAATGGCGAATGCGGTGGCGTGACTACCTAGTAGGAATGTCGCGCCTGAAGAAGAGCAGTTGATCCAGTTCCTGTGAAACACGCGTTCAAATCTGGGCACGAATTGTTTGTATGTAGGTACATAGAGCGCCGAAGGGTATTCGGAAGCTCACTCGTGCGGCATCTCCGAGCCAACCCAGGTCCTAGACCAATTGTAAGAAGCCCCTTCACCCAGCACAACTGAGCGACGTCAACCTCGCTGAGATGCATCCCTCGATCACGCAATCAACATCCATGACCCGGACAAGAGTACACACAGATGACGCAAACCAAGTGAGTGCGCCTAAGATTACGCAAAATAACTGTCAAAAGATCTCTGTCGGTCAGTCTGCATCGCACCCGCCATATCAACAGTCCGACACCCAAGCCCGGCCCCAGAAAGCATCTCACACGGCCCGTGCATCGGCCACCCTCGGCCCCATCCGCCCTCCGCCACCGGCGCAGCGCCCCAAGCTTCTGCAGCAAGAAGAGAAGACAGACCCACTTTAAATTCGAAAAGCCGCGGGTCAATGACATTTTCCATCCTCTCCAAAACTTCCCGACCTTCGCCTCACGCCTGCACTTCCACCATCACCACCACCACCCTCAAAACCACCACCACCAACCTCCAACCTCAGTAACCACTCAACCAGACACACACAAAACTCACCAAAACACCACAACCAAACAAAATGTCCCGCCTGCTCCGCCTCCGCACCCCAATCCTCCGCCTCCCCTCCCGCGCCTCCTCAACCTTCTCCCGCGGCCCAGCCCCGCCCCGCCTGCCCGCCGACCAACAAGCCGAATTCGAGCGCCTCCAGCGCGCCGCCTCCGTATCCTCCGCCTTCCAAGAGTACGCCAACCCTCCTGCCTCCGACGCCGCAGCAGCATCCACACCCACATCCTCCGACGCCGCCGCAACACCAGCAGCAGCAGCAGCAGCAGCAGAGTCGCAACCCCAAGAAAAGCCCGTCAACCCGACCATCTCCGCCTCGGAGGAGGACACCATGCACCCCGCCTACGTCCGCGGCGCGCCGCCCGAGTTCGAGGGCGACGTCAACCCGCGCACCGGCGAGGTCGGCGGGCCCAAGAGGGAGCCGCTGCGCTGGGGGTCTGGGGGCGATTGGAGCTACAACGGCCGCGTGACGGACTTCTGAGATGGTGTTTGGCACCTGTGTAATGAATGGTGACGGGCAGTCAAGGGCGATAGCGAGACGACCTTGTAAGAATAGCGGTTGTACAACAATGCAAAGACGAGAGTCACAAAGAGATACCATAGCGTAGAAGAACATCCCAATCGTGTACTCGAAGGAATTGGGTATTATAATCATAACTACTCCTACAATGCCTGTGGCTTGAATCATCCGCTGCTTCGCCTGCTTTTCAAGAGTATGCTGTTATCCGAAATTGATTCCCGACTTTTATGGCGCCGACGCCTTCACCTCCTTCGTGCTCTCGTCCAGATCCATCTTGTCGGACTTGGTCGACGCCACGCCGTTGGTGATCGCACCGTTGGTTGCGCGAGCACCTTGCTGCTCGGCAGGCCTGTTCTCCTTGTCGCCCTCACTAGGGGTCCTCTCATCTTTGCCCGCTCCGTTCTCGCGTGCTTCATCTCGCTTCCACCAGTGACCAGAAACGATCTCGTCTCGAATCCTATCAAGGCGCTGTTTCTCTTTTTCCAGCTCGGCACCGTTGAGGCCACGGCTGGCGGCGTTCATCTCACCCATGGCCTTGCGCATGCGTTCCCGACGGCCTTTGCCTCGGAGTCGGCTCTGTGTTCCGGCGCCGTTGGTCACCCAGCGGATCCCCAAGATCTGGAAACTGATGCCGTCGTGAATCGACTTCCGTCCATTGTAACGGCCACCAAACTCGCGTGACTGAATGCCGAACCGAGTGGTGCTACTGTACTTCTCTAGTCGTGGGAGAATCAAGAGAGTTACGTGCATGTCGCGTTCGACAGGGACTGTGACGGGTCCAGTCTTGGGTGGCTTGTCCAGGAACGTGGCCGCGTTCGCTTCTTGTCTGGCCTTTTCTTCCTTCTCTTTCTCCTTGCGTCTCTTATTCGCTGGAACCTCCTTCTCGGGGGCGGCTAGGCCACGATCCAGGTCCAGCATGTCCGCATCGATGTCATCGGCCCATTCTCCCCGAATCCAACCGCCATGAATGCAGGCAGCAATAATGTCCGAGTCGTCGGTATACACTTCTGTTCCCCACACTGCTCTCCGCGCAGTGATCTCCTCTCGTGCGGAGGGAGTCAGATGTACCTTAGGGACCTTGACCGTCAGGGTGCAGTTCTCCTTGTTCTTGATCATGTCCCACGGCAGAGGGGTGGGTGTCGTCGAAAAGCCGCGAGAAGAGGGGACGTTTGGCACTTGTCTCGCCGGCTTCAGTTTGGGTTCGTAGAGCACATCGCCAAGGTGAGTCCGCGGGAGATGTGCGACCGATTCTAACACCGCCTTCGAGCTGACGACTGTTTTCGGTTTGGGAGGGATCACCGCAGTCGGACTCTGTACAGCCTGCTTGGCTGGCGCTTCCTTCACTTGGTGAGTATGCTGGTTTGTTGGCCGAGGGACGTGGTGATGATGCGCAGTCGGCAAGTCCTTAGCAAGCCCTGTAGGCGATGGAACCGGCGTAGTTCCTTTTACGTTCTTGAAAGGGGTGACACCGATAGGTGCAGGAACGTTGGCATGGTCAGTGCCATGGTTATGGGTGTGATGGTGATGATGATGGCTAATAGGGCAAGTATGGTCAGTACAACGGGTCTCGTCTACTTGGGATAATGATACTTCGTACTGGTGATGGTGGTGTTGATGAGTCTTGGGGCGCTTAGCCCGACCCGCTGGTGTGAGGCGCCCTGTGCTCTCCTCATCACCTTTGACATCTTCCTCCTTGAGCTTCCTCCTCCTGCCCTTGGCTGGTGGTTTGGGCGCAGCGTCAGGCCCAGAGTCCTGCGCCGGACCGTCCGTCTCGTCTCGACGGGCAAGGCTTGCATTGGTATATGGCAGCTGCGCTCCAGTGGTGACTGGACTAGACACACCAATCCCGGTGACACCACTGCCAATACCAGAAAACATGCGTCCAAATTCGCTCTTGATGCCAGGCTCTCCTGCAGGGCCAGGCAGCTGTGTTTGTGCCCCCTGCACTGCCTGCGGCAGAGGGGATACTCGACCCTTGCGGTTGATCTCCTGAACCGCCAGCAAGTGCCTCTGTCCATTGTTTGGATGTTCCTCCACGGGGCGATTACGGGGCGAGTCAACGAACGCTGGAGTGCCGTGTGGAGCATTGTATGCAACCGACGGAGGAGGTGGACCTTCCTCCACGGGGCGACGATGCGCCGGAGGCGCCTGCGCCTGAGGAGGGAGATGACTTATTCGCTGTCGCTCAGGAGAATCGAAGGTTTGCTGCGGAGGCGCTTGTTGTTGACCGGGAGTAGGCTGTTGGGGATGGCCCTGTGGGGGATAGCGATCTCCTGGAGGCGGGTGCGGGTACTGAGGAGCCGGCGCGGGATGGCCTTGATTCGGGTAGCCTGGCGCTGAGGTGGGAGGATATTCGTGGTGTCGCGGATGAAGGCCAGCAGGGTCGTACGGAACTCGGGATTGCTGCTCAAATGGCTGGGGCTGCCGCGGTGGCCACGGCCCTTGCTCTCGGTGCTCAGGAGGTCGACTGAACGGCGGAGGCTGCCCACGCGGAACTTCCTGAGGACGGTACTCGCCCTGCGGTGGTGGAGGTCCTCGTCCTCCCTCGCCCCCCGAGTATGCGCGTTGTCTGCTTTCTCTTTCCCTAAACTCAAACTCCTCTCGGCGCTCGCGCTCGGCGCGGTAGCGTTCGTCAAAATTCATTTGCTTCAGACCGGGCCTCTCAGGGTTGTATTCCATTGCACCTCGAGGCATTTCTTCGCGACGAGCATACATCTCTTCCGGTCCGTTGTTACGCCCCATGTCAACAGGCCTCGGAGGCATGCTCGCGAAAGACTTGGGCTGGCTCGTAGGTCTCGGGGGAGGGCCCGGGGGCATTCGGCTCGGGTCTCTGCCATCTTGTGCGGAGGGTCCCCGCTGATGGTACGCCTGTGGTGTACCGTATCGCTGCATCTCCGGTGTTGTAGAGTACGCACCCTGCGGCGATGCTGCGGCACTACCTCTCGGATCGTAAGGACGAGCATGCTCAGGTGTTTGAGGTCTCCTGAAGGGCTGGTACTCGGAGGACGCAGAGTGCATTCTAGGTGACGCCTGGATCGACGGTGCAAACGTCGGCCCGGAGCTGGCAGCGGTCGCCGGAGGAGGGTAGTGCGAAGGTGGAGGCTGAGAGTCCCTGGGCACCGGGGGTGGTCCCCCAAGCATTGAAGATATTGACATGGAGCTTCCGGTGCTTCCCGTCCTCGGTATTGATGCTAACGACGGCAGCTCGCGACCACCGGGAAACGAAGTCGGAGGACCAACATTGAGAGGCGGACCTCGCGGCGCTGGTAGCCCATAATGGCCCATTTGATGCGACGGCGGCTGTGGGTTCCCCGGCTGGGGAGGAGAACCCGGCGGCGGCATGTTTCTGTTCATCGGTGGGCCGGGAGGTAACGAGGATGCACTCGCATGTCGAGAGTGGCCTGGTTGAGGAGGACCAGAGCCCTGTTCTTGAGGATATGACCTCGGGCCCTGACCGTAGTAGGGGTTTTCGGATGTTCTTCTCTGGTGCTCGGCATAGGGAGGGTTCGAAGTAGGCGGCGGATGTGACGATGCGGTCGGGAAAGGAGCCTGGTTTGGTGTTGAAGTCGCTGGCTGATTTTGGTTCGGAGGGAAAGGAGAGCGACTGTATTGCGATGCAGTATTGCGCGAGAAGGGGTGTTGTGGCGGTTGTCTTGGATCCATCGCGCCGAAGTTTTTAGCTCAAAGCCCACAAGGTGGATTGCATAGGCAAACGTGCGTCTGAGTGACAGCGACGAGGCACCCAGTGTAGGCGATCGCGAGTATCGTGAAAGTCGACCTTTGGAGAAGACGGCGATGGAGTCGTCGATGGTCGGTTTGAGAGGATGGGGAGCTGGGATGAGGCTCTCTCTCTGGACCGGTTGGCGAGTAGCGAGAAAGGTGGAAGAGGAGAAAGGGTCGAGAAGGTCGAGAGGATCGCGACACACTGTTGTTACACGGACGGCAGAATTATTTTGGATTCCCCTGGTCGGATCCTGTTTCGGTGGAGCTGGGCTGGCCGGCTACTGGCATTGAGCAGCTTGTGCTTGTGCTCACACCTCACTTTTCGTTTTTTTCTTCTTGGCTCTCTTGTCTTGCTGGTCGCTCGGCCGGGGATGGACAGGGACCCTGTCTGTGGTGTGTGTCTTGGTGACTTGGTGGCTGCGTGACCATGGGGCCGCTGCTGGCAAATGGGCGCAAATCAGCCGGAACGCGACAGGGATACCGGGGGAGGTTCGTTCGCGCTAGTGCGACAGGTGGCCCCCGTTGATGGGAAACGATGATGTCGATGCGCCGCGCCCGGGGTGGGTTGTTTTTCTTGCCCTCGGCCCCTGTCGTGTGTGGTGTGTCGGTCAGGGAATCGGCGTTGTTGTTTTCTGTTGAAGTCGGATTTCCACCTTCAACATGTCCAGCCGGTTCGCCGCGAGGTCTGTGGCCATGCGGTTTGCGCCGATTGAGAGATATCTGGTAGTATAGAGCTTACGAAAGCAAATTAAACAAAAAGCATAACGAAACCCAACTGTCTGGGTTTGCACAAGGGTAATACGGTGTGGCTGGACTTCCGTTTGCTTATTGAGTCGTGATGGTAATTGCTTCTGCTGGGTGGGTGAAGCTGCACAGGTGGCGCGTCTCGCGACGAACGCAGAACTTGTGGTGGTCACTGACAGGAGGCACAACGACGGGAGGGAACGAGACGGCGTGGGGAGCAGCAGGGAGCAGATGAGGGGAGAACAAGCGTCAAGCATCTTGCGCAAGGGACAAAGACGTGTGCGAGACGATCGAGGACCCTAAGCTTATGCAGGAAGAGGCGGACCGCAGGCTGTTAGTGCCTGTCCGTTGGGTAATAGTGCTGGCATCAAGCATCTGAGGTCCAAGGTACCTCATGCGGGTGGGGAAACAGCAGCAGTACTAGAGTCGTAGTAGCCAGGACAGCTGTCGATGCGATTTTCTGCAAGACAAGTCTCGTACGTTGTCTGTGAGTAATATGGGTGTTAGTCGAGAGGTGACAACTGAGGATGGTGGTGATGCGGTGACGGCGATGGTAGTGGCATAGCTGCTGCAAGATGCACGACTCGACGGGCGTCACAAGATGGAGGGGCACAAACAGATGCAGAATGTTGGATGGGGAATGCGGGAGCTGCAGCTGCAGGACGAGGAAAGGTGGTGTAAAATACGTAGAGTGAAAGCAGGAAACTAGCGGTGATGGGCGACGGCAAGAGCGACGGCGGGATGACAGAGATGGAGATGTGGATGGGTGGATGGCGGGCGCGACCTGACGTGAAGCAGCCCGGCTGCTGCTGATGCTGCTGCTGATCAAGTGAAGAAAGATGATCCCGGTTCCAGGGCGAGGGGCTCGGGCGAGTCGCGCGGCGCGGGAAGGGCTGTGGCCTGTCGCTGCTGGTCTCTGGCTGGCTGACTGTTGATTCGCACCGCTTTCTAGTCCTTCGTCTCTTGTATTGATGGCGTGGAGGGCCGAGAAGAGCTGTGAAGGTGGTGTGCGACTCCTCTAGTGTGGCATTCGATAGCCAAGGTTCATGTGCTCGTGCGGAGCATCTGCCTTTTCTCTGACAGGGAAGGGGAATGGAGGCACGAGTTGGGGTAATAATGTGGCGTGTCTTGACGAGTGTCTGTGCCTATGCCAGTGTTTCTGTTTCTGCCAGAGCACGAGTCCGCATCTCTGTCCAACAAACAGTAATTAATCATTCGGCTACTCAGAAGCAAGTAGAATCCGGTTAGGTCATTTCCTCGTGTATGTTGGTCGCCAACGAAAAGTATGTGTTGCCGGCAGACACAAGCATGATGCGGTGGTTAGGATGCGAAGTTCCAGTTGACAGCCATGGCGACATTGGTGATGGCTACCGGTGTTGGCGACATTGAATTGTAACAGGCGAAGGCGCATCTCAACTAAGTGGGTGAAGTTAGAACTGTTGGTTGGCCATCTTCTTCCATCAAGTCTCTGTCGGCGCAGTTCACGTTTGTGGACAACGTCTGCCTTTGCCGGCGGCACTGCCGATGCAAGATATGCGCATCGAAAAAGACTAAATTGCAGACGGAGGCTTCTGTGGTGTTCCGTCTGCGGGAGTGCCAATGTTTGCCGGCGTCTGCCTCATTTCCAGGGCGTGCTTGAAGCTGAGGGTTTTGGCGGCCGCCATGCTTGGGATTCCTCGTGGCGGACGCGCAGCTGCACGAGGATGTTTTGTGTCACTTTGCTTGAAGAGGCACGGTTTTGTGTCGAGTACTAACAGCATAGCATAGTACAGCACAAGACAGGTTGTGTATCATAAAAGTTATTTCTCTGTTGACAGCATCAACAACTTTTCTGACACGAGAGGCAGAGTTCAGCTCACCTGGCAGCTTCCTTGGGGTGCTGAATGATCTTCGGCCATCACCAATGGCAAACAGCAGCGGCAGCCACCCTGACGAGATGATCCTGGTCTGGAGGGCGCTCTTGCAAGGCCGAGGACGGTGGCGGTACGTATCCGACTCGTGAGGTAGCAGTTAGCTTTCCCCCCTTCAGACTGCTACCCTGGTCTGCCGCAGGCCTTGCACAGCCAATGATGACGCACCAAATGACAGGATCGCCAATTTTGTGTTTTTGTGCCTGGGAGACTCGCCCTTTGCAGCAACTGTGCACCCAGCCGGGCCGGGAAGGGAAGCGTGCGGTCATGGCCATGGCAGGTCGCAGGAAGTGAGAATTGGCCTGCACCCTTGATGCTTGGTGCTTCGACTTCGATTGCCGCCGCCAGATGAGAAGAAAAAGGCTCCCGTGCGGCTGGTCCCTGGACGCTCACGCTTCTCTGGTCCCCTTCTGGACCCTCGGGAATCAGGGACTGGAGTGATGAGAGAGATGTTGGGCGTCCGTTCCATTCGGTCTGCGTCAGAGTGTCAGGGACGCCCTCCTCCCAGCAGGGTTTAGGGCCCCAACCACCCGACCTGTTGCTTCCCCGTCCATGGGTTACCGCTGGGCCCTGGGCTGAGGAAGCGGGGGTCGTAACACAAGCGCGCAGACTTTGAGGTGTTCCCTTGTTGTCCTTTGCTTTCTCGTGACTTGTGACGGATGCTGGCGGGCAGGACATGTCATCCAGTGTGTAAGCATGTCGCATTCTCTTTTCCTCAAGAAGGGTTGACTGACATTTCCGTTGCGGTGCAGATGGGAAAGATGCACGCAGATCGGCGCGGTGCGCGATCATGAACCGGGAAGAAGCCCGAGGGAAGCTTGAGAAGGTAGCCGCCGCCGCCAATCGGGGCCACCCGTGCGTGCTTGCTTGCTTTGCTCAAGACCATCTCACTCGTGACTTTGGTACATTTTCGTGTCGTATCTCCCACTGGCTCATCTTGGTCGTGGTTGCTGGCTGCTGCGGGGCCCGGGCCTGGGCCTGACGAGTGAACACAACACAACGTGAACGCGACGGCAGGCGTAGAGGACTGGAGCTTCCGTCACAGCCAAAAGGAAGGAGAAAAAAGTTCGCGGTGACCCTGCTGCTTCCTCCCGTCTGTCTGCGGTCCATGTCGGTTCTCATTGGGAAGGTCCCCACACAGACCCCCTCCCCCCTGGGTTGGTTCCTTCCCACCCCAGATGGCGCACCTTCAATCTGTCTGTACCTGTGACCCGCAGGAGGTTCCGCGACAGGCAGCTGCTCTACCTGCCGCAGCTTGGAGGGAGGAAAAAAGCTCTTCATCAGCAGGTGTCACTCACTGGCCACGCCTGCCAGCCAATTCTTACCTCACAACTATTATGTATGTGTTCCAAGGAAGTAGCTGAGAAGCTCCTCGGCAAAACCCACTCCACTTAGGCTCCTGCCGACAATCGGCCTTGCCCTTGATTCCACTGACCCGGGCGAAGAACTCTTCTCGAAAAATTATCGTCTCATCGTTTCCACTATCATTGTCACTAAACACTACCGGCTCTGCCTGGGCACGGATAGGCAAACAAACGGACGCTGCTCTCGGTGCATCGTCGTCCGGGAACCACCGAACGGACAAACGAAGCAGCCAACAACATGATTACAGCCAACGTGCCAACCCACCAACAAAGTGACAGTCACCAAGTTGCAACCCGCACTTCATCTCAGTCGGCCCCCCTCAGTTCGTACCCAATGCTGCAGCCCATTGCCAGCGCAAACACCAGGCCCAGCATGTTTCGGGTACCATCTGCAACAAATTGCAGGGGACGTCATCACCACCCCAGCACCATAGGGCGGTGAGCTGCGCAAAAGGTCGCGGATTTGCGCCATCTCCTTCACCGATAGCACTTCCTCGCAACAATCCTTGAGAGAACCCCGAGTCTGGAGCCCACTGCTCCACGCCTGCCTGAAAAACTTTGAGCAAACTGCAGGAGCACCGTGACGCCTGCATCTCCGGCC